GGTGAAGTGTGTTTCTTTTAGGCAACAGACCATAGGTCTTCTTTTTTCATCCATTTAGTTAATCTGTGTCTTCTGATTGGAGAGTTTAGTCTATTTACATTCAATGTTAACTATTAAGTAAGGACATCCTTTTGCCATTTTGTTTTTGGTTTTCTGGTTGTTTTGTGGTCTTCTTTCTTGCATTTCTGTCTTCCTCTAGTGAAGATGATTTTCTCTGGTGGTTTAGTTTCTTGATTTTTATTTTTTGTGTGTCCATTGTATATTTTTTGGTTTGAGGTTACCATGAGCCTTGCAAATACTATCTTATCACTCATTATTTTAACCTGATAACATAACACTATTTGCATAAGCAAACAAGCAAAAAGGAAACTAGTAAAAACTTGCCTTTGTTGTTTCTGTTTATGTCTTATTATACTGCCTATGTCTTGAAAAGTTGTTTTAGTTATTATTTTTGTTTGGTTCATCGTTTAGTTTTTCTAGTTAGGATAAGAGTAGTTTGCAAACCACAGTAACAATGTTATAATATTCTGTGTTTTTCTGTGTATTTATATTACCAGTAAGTTTTGTATTTTCAGGTGATCATTTATTGCTCATTAATGCCCTTTTCTTTCTGATTGAAGTACCCCCCTTTAGCATTTCTTGTAGGACAGGTCGGGTGTTGATGAAATACCTTAGCTTTTATTTGTTTGGGAAAGTCTTTATTTCCTCTTCATAGTCAAAGGATGTTTTCACTGGATATACTATTCTAGGGTAAAAGGTTTTTTCCCTCAGCAATTTAAATATGCCATGTCACTATCTTCTGGCATATAAGGTTTTCACTGAGAAGTCTGCTGCCTGATGTATTGGAGCTCCTTTGTATGTTCTTGTTTCTTTTCTCTTGCAGCTTTTAGGATTCTTACTTTATTCTTGACCTTTGGACGTTTGATTATTAAATGTCTTGAGGTAGTCTTCTTTGGGTTAAATCTGCTTGGTATTCTATAACCTCCTTGTACTTGGATATTTTCTCTAGGTTTGGGTAGTTCTCTGTTATTTGAAGGTTTACTCAAAATAAACTTTCTATCCCTATCTGTTTCTCTGCCTCCTTTTTAAGGCCAATACCTCTTAGATTTGCCCTTTTGAGGCTATTCTCTAGATTGTGTAGGCACGTGTCATTGATTTTTACTCTTTTTTCTCCTCTGTGTGTTTTAAAATAGCCTTTCTTCAAGCTCATTAATTCTTTCCTCTGCTTGATCCAGTCAGCTCTTAAAGGACTTGATGCATTCTGAAGTATGCCAATTGCATTTTTGAGTTGCAGAATTTGTGCTTGATTTTTAAAAATTATTTAAATATCTTTGTTAAATTTATCTGATAGAATTCTGAATCCCTTCTCTGTGTTATCTTGAATTTCTTTGAGTTTCCTCAACACAGCTGTTTTGAATTCTCTGTGTGAAAGGTCACATATCTTTGTTTTTCCAGGATTGATTCTTGGTGCCTTATTTAGTTCATTTGGTGAGGTAATGTTTTTCTGGATCGTGTTCATGCTAGTCGATGTTCCTCGGTGCCTGGGCATTGAAGAGTTAGGTATTTATTGTACTCTTCATTGCCTGAGCTTATTTGTAGCCATCCTTCTTGGGAAGGCTTTCCAGTGACACTGCAGTTCTTGCAGACTTGTAGAGGTACCACCTTGATGGCCTTGGGCAAGATCTGGGGTAATTCTCTAGATTACCAGGCAGAGTCTCTTGTTCTCTTCCCTTACTTTCTCCCAAGCACACAGAGTCTCTTTCTCTTTCTGTTCTGAGACACCTAAAGCTGGGGGTGGTGTGACACAAGCACTCCTATGACCACCACCACCACCATGAGGTGCTGGGTCACACCTGAAGCAAGCACAGTGCTGGGTCTTGCCCAAGGCCTGCCTTAATCACTCCTCGGCTATAGCTGTGCTCACTCAAGGCCCTAGGGCTCTACAGTTAGCAAGTAGCAAAGCCAGCTGGGCCTGTGTCCTTCTCTTCAGGGTGACAAAGTCCCCCTGGCCACTAGCGGGTCCAGAGATACCATATAGGAGTCAGGGACTAGAGTCAAAAACCTTAGAAATCTACCTGGCATTCTGTTGTATTGCAGCTGAGCTGGCACTCAAACCACAAGACACAGTCCTTCCCCTTTTCCGCTTTTCCACTTTCCCCTTTCCAAAGGCTGAGAAACCTCACCCCGTAGCCACCGCCATTCCTGGCCATGAGGAATACTGCCAAAGTACCACCGACATTCCCTTAAGGACCAAGGGCTCTTATATCAGCTTGTGGTGAATGCTATCTGACTTGGACTCACCTGTCAGGTCAGTGAGCTCCCCTTTGGCCCAGGGCAGGTCTAGAAATGCTGTCCAAGAGTCAAGTCCTAGAATTGGGGACCCCAAGAGCCCACTTGGTGCTCTACCCTACTGTGGTGGTGTTGGTACCTAAGATGCAAGACAAAGTGCCCTTTACTCTTCCTTCTGTTTTTATCAAGCGGAAGGAGTTTTGCCCCATAGCCACCACAGATGGTAATGTGCATAGTCTCACCTGAAGCCAACAAGTCTCAGAAACTCACCAAGGCCCTCAACATAGTACCGTGGTATCACTGCTGGTTATTCAGGACCCAAGGTCTCTTCAGTTAGCAGATGATGAATGCTACCAGGACTGGGTCCTTTCCTTCAAGGCAGTGGGTTTCCTTCTGGCCTAGGGCATATCTAGAAATGTCGTCCCAGAGCTAGAGCTCAGAACAAGGGCCTCATGACCTCAAGGTGCCCTATTCTTCTGTGGCAGAACTGGTAAACAAGATGCAAGACAAACTTCTCCCCACTCTTCCCTCTCCTCTTCTCAAGTGAGAGGAAGGGGTTTCTTTTGTATCCACAAGCTGTTCAATCTGGGGTTGGGGGAGGGGTGATGCCAGCATTCCCTTAGCTGCCCCAGCTGGTATCTCAGTGTGTACCATGCTACTTTAGTCCACTGTGTTTGGGCCTAGTTCAGCACTAGGACTCACCTATGAGGTGCAGTCCTTATGGCCTAGACTGCCTTTCAAGTTTTTACTTAGACACCAAGAGTACTCTGGCCTTTGGTACTGAGGTTTGTGGGCACTCAAGTTTGGACCGCTGGTATCAGTGATTCCCCTCTGGCTAGGGCTGGTTGAGATGCCTTCTTGTGGGTGGACATCAGCTTAGTTTGGTCAGATTTTCTTTTTGCTATAACAAGATGGCACTGGATTCAGTGCCTCACAATTGCTCTGTTCTCCCTTCACCAGCACTCAGAGATGCTCCTGGCACCAAGCCATGCTGCTGGGGTCAGGGAGGGGTGGTGTCAGAGACTCAGAACTGTTTTTCTATCTTTTCAGTGTCTCTTTCAGTGATATGAGGTTAAAACCAGGTACTGTGAATGCTCACCTGATTTTTAGCTCTTATGAAGGTGCTTTTTGCTGTGTAGTTGTTGGTTAACTTAGTGTGCTTGTGGTAGGGGTAGGAGGACAATCTGTGGAGTTTTCTGTTCTGCCATTTTACCTCACCTCCCTCCTAAAAAATATTCTTAAATGAGATTGTAATGTTTGTATGAACTTGCATGAAGACAGACTTCTTGTGTTTGGATCCTGTGTCTCTTACCCATTTTGTAACATTCTTCAACGTACTTATAACTCTGTGCCTATGATTCCTTATCTGTAAAATGAAGATAATAATAGTATCATAATAGATGTAAAACATTTAAAACAGTACTAAATGCCATGTAAGGTTAGGTGGTGGTATTATTACTATTAATCCTGTTTACCTCATATTCTGTGGTCATCTGTCAGTATTTGTGAATACCTTTCAGTGACAGGAAATTAATTCTACTTCTTGATCCTAATTCTACTCCCTGTCTGTTCCTAATCTTGTTTTTCCTTTGCTTCCTCTTTTCTCATCTACTCATATTTTATGTCTTCCTTTGTGCTTTATATAACTTTTAGCCACCTTCAGTGTTTTTTGGAATAAAGTAGTGTATGCATACATACATATACATCTTTGTTCCTAGAATTTACCACTTTTAGTGCATGGTTTTTATCTTGGACATTCATATATTCTAGTTCCCAGAACAGTAACTTCTAGACTTTAATAAATTATTTATTGAATGAACGAAGGAATCAATGACTTCAAATTTGTGAGGCGTTGTATATGATTATTATTTTATTCCTAAATCTTATTCTTTAGACCAAAAGGATATCCAGTTTGACAGTGTTCTTTTTTAAGAATGATGCTTATAACTGAATATAATAGTTCCTATGGGATTCCATCAGCAGAGAGTAAAAGAGTATTATTATGTCATTTTATTCTATGTGTATTTGTCTGCTAGTGTACTTAAAATACCAAATAGGAGGGGCAGTATGACTTTGGACTCACTTGCCATAATGCTGAAGTCAAATGTGTTGCTGTTAAATCAGCTTTCTTTTACCCAATTCACATTTGTGCTTTAAAAAAAAAAGTTTTACAAGACCTTGCATATTTCTGTTCAACTTATTTTTTAACATTCATTCCATTATTTCAGTATTTATTATAAGTTGTATCAGTTTTGTATTTCTTCATCTTCTATATATGGAGTTTATGCCCCAGTTACATCTCCTTATCTGTAAGACTAGTAATACCAAAAAAGAAAATGAATTTCATGTCTTAAAATTTATCATTAGTAAATTCTATATTTTCTGTTGATTATCACTTTTAAAGGCCAAACCCTCTTTTTAGGAATTTTTCCTGAATCCCACCCAGGAATCACATGCTATAGTTTGCTCTATTTTACTAGATTTGAAAACAGTCTTTTCCATTTATGTGGAAATTAGATTTCTGTTCCCTAGTTTCAATGCTTACAACACCTTTCACTTACCTGTAGCTCTTATACTTTTGATCAAAATTAATTTTATACCAGAAGCCAGGAAATTTTTTAGAGTAGTAGTTTTGAATTCTTGTTATTTCATTCTACTGTTATCAGTAGCCTCCCATGTTAACACCATTGTTTCTTTCTGTTTACTTTCAGCTGGTTGGTGGAGAATTTGACTTGGAGATGAACTTTATTATCCAGGATGCTGAGAGTATAACATGCATGACAGAGCTTTTGGAGCACTGTGATGTAACATGTCAAGCAGAAATATGGAGCATGTTTACAGCCATTCTACGAAAAAGTGTTCGGAATTTACAGACTAGCACAGAAGTTGGGCTAATTGAACAAGTATTGCTGAAAATGAGTGCAGTAGATGACATGATAGCAGGTATGGGGTTGTCTGACAGGAAAGTATAACTTAATGTTTATAAAGTTTCACATACTTCCCTTTATATTCCATAGGTAATATAGACTTGTTGACACTACTTTGATTTAAAATAAATGGAAATGTATGGAAATTTTACTTTTTATATTAATGGAAAACGTGAAGAGTGGAAGAAGAAAAACATAATTACTGTAGTAGACAAACATAATTACTGATGTTGTTTTCTAAATTTTAGAAAATCTCAGTACCATGGAGTGCTATGAAATCTATCAGAAAAATAAACAGTATCTTTTTATGTAGTATTTCATTAAGCTTTTACATAATTAAAATACCACAATAGGTATTACAGTTCTGTATAATGAGCATTTTACCAAATTCTCCTAGTTCTGTGCCCCTCAATCTGGCATAAATGCAACTATGACAGGAGGTACTAAAAGTCTTAGATAAGCATGTTGTATCTTTTGGACACGTCCATTTTGGAAGAAACTTGTATTAAAATAAACTAATAGATTATGGGCTAGAACATAAAATTCACCAAGAATTTCAAGATAAAAATACTAATGTTTTGCTTGTTTGGGTTATTTCAAACAGTAACTTTGAAATCTATGATTTTTTCACCACCAACCCTTTACTACCTTGCACACTCATTCTCCTGTGTGGCTGGATGCATTTCAGAAAAGTGTTTTGAATATTATTCCAGAGCAAGTATCATTCCAGAAAATAAGTTTAAAGTTTGAAATGTTTATTTTTTGTAAGCCATGAATTTTCAGCCTAAGTATCTTCTGACATAAAAGCATTTTCGTAATTACACAAGTGCTGATATTACCCTCCACAGTATCATTCCTGATCTGGGAAAGTAGTTCAGATACCAGAGAATACTCTTTAACATTTTGGCTTATGCATTTAATTATTTTTAAAATTTATGGAACAAAACATTAAGAAAGAATGGAATGAAAAATGGGTTAAAAAAGAATGCAAAATTGCAAAAAGAATGCTTTTAGTTTAAATATTTCAAAAATTTGATTTTCTGAGAAAATATATTAAAAATCATATCTAATTACCTTCAGGGTGGCATATATCTTTTTTTAGAATGGTTTAGCAGTCCCTGTATGGGGTACTGATGGGTAACTTGATGAAAAATGAGATTTAGACATCTGTTTCTTAAAATACGTTTTTAATAAAGATATATTAATAGTAGCATTTCTATACATTCTAGAGTTACTTAATAGGAATGTATTAATATAGACTTATGTGTACACATGTTTTGTAGGACATCACATGATCTTTCAATTCTTATATCTGAGCTTAAGCTCTTTTTTTTTTTTCTTTTGTAAACTGGCTGCTACTCTATGGAGTGCAGTTTAGAGAATGAGCCAAAATTACACATATAGTAATTTACTGGTACATAATTCATCAGCACTGAAATGTAACAGTGACAGTACCATAGAAGTTCATATCTTGACATTGCTATTATATAAAGCTCCTTAATTCTCTTATCTTTTTCTCAGTAATAATATTAATAACACAAAACTTTCACTTTTTGTAATTTCTAGCATTTCCCTTCAAAAGTGCTTGATGTTGGAAGGATATGAGAAAAGAGAATAAATGTCAGAAAAATACCTCTGTCTTGCTTTTTAATAGAGAAATTAAACTTTGAATATTATACTAAGGAAGAACCGGCAGCCACCAAAACACTACTAACATTCATATCTGAATGTATTGTAGTATGTTAAGTTCAATGGGGTCCTTTTTATTTAATAATATAGTATAAGTGTCACTAGAAGTGGCTAAATTAAATATGTATAGCAAATTGATGAGAAAATTTCATGGTGTTAGTATTTTTTCTTTTAAAAAAAATCATTTCTGATTACTTTCAATCTTGTTCTCCAGAAAAGAAGACCTTCTATAATAGAATTAAACTGAGCTGCTTGGTTGTGTTACATATACAATATATAAGTAATTACTATTTTTTCTCTTTTAAAAATAATTTCTGATTGTTTTTAATCTTGTTCTCCAGAAAATGTCTTCTGTAATAGAATTAAACTGAGCTGCTTCGTTGTGTTACATGTATAATATGCAAGGAATTTTTTTAAATTTCTAATTAAATACAAAGTTAATAGATTACTTTTTGTGACATACATGGGAGATCAGATAAAGACTTGTATAACTTGAAAAAAAATTTAGATGTTGCAAATATTTTAAAAAGTTTTTTTAAAGTATTTTATGTAAACCTTTAAGAAATCTTCTGTAAAGGTTGCCATTGCAGCTAATTGCTTACAAATACTTCATATTATAGAAACATTAAATGGACTCAGACAAAAATACTTCATATTAGCTTAGGGTTTTTACAGTACTTGAATTTTTTATAGAAACATGCTTTTTGACCTATATATACTAATATTTTCATACATTTTTGTTGCTTAAGTGATGACATGTTTTATTTCGTTAAAATATTACTCTGAAAGTGGCATATCCACTGTCACACTTTTATTGTAGAGATTACTTGCTTATTGTGTGTTAAATAAAATTATTTATGAATTGATTAATTATTAATTGATGAAAATAAGCATACTAAGTTTCAATTTTGAAATATACAAATGACAAATATTTTTTAAAGTCTCAAATTCCAGTTATTAATCTGTGATATGATATTGAATAATACACATTATTTATCAGTACTAAGTATTTCAGCTTACCCTAACCTAACCTTTTTATTAATTGATTATAAGCTTTTAGAATATATATGTGTATTGCTTTGTAATAACTTTTGTAGTATGTTTCATTCTTAAGAAGTGCTTTAGAAATTGGGGAAATGAAGTATAAAAGTTTAGATGTTCAATTTCTTGCAAAGAACAATGGCAGAAGAAGTATTAATCACAATATGTAGAGAAAGCAATCAGAGACAAGAGATTAAATGTGTAATTTTTCTCATTATTAGGTGTGCTGGTCTGTTATATGCACATATACACTCACACTAGCATGATGGATACCATTAGTAATGTACTTACAGACTAGTGTGTAAGAGTGAGGATTCTGAAACTATACTGTCTGGGTTTGAATCCTGATTCTACTACTTACTAGGTCTGTGTTCTTGAGCAATGTGAATAAATTATCTGTGCCACAATTTACTCATTTTACAAGGGGATAAAAATGGTACTTACCTCATAGGCTTGGTATGAGGATTTGTGAGGTTAGTATATGTAAACCACTTGGAATAATGTCTCACCTGGAGTAAGTGGTAAAAATTGCTAGTGGGCCAAGGAATTTACCAAGAATATATTAAGAATGGACAATTCTGAAAGACAATATAGTCAGCTGTTACTTTTTCATTTGACAATAACCAATTTACAATTTTACATCTTTGTATATTTTCATATTTTTACCTACCTTTCCCTGCACACAGCAGGCTGTGTTGTGGTGTGTGTGTGTATATGTTCTGGGAATATATAAAATCTATTTTACATTTCTGCTAAGAGAGCTTAATTGCATTGGTGATTTAATGAGGGAAAATCATATAATTGAAATAAATTATTTTGGTTATTTAATGAGTTAAAAATTGTTAATTGGGATGGCTATTCATGAGAACATTTAGCTGTATTAGATACATATATATAGAGAGAGATGACAATGACAACTTTTATCTTTCAAAAAGTATATTACCTTGACAGATGGCAGCTCATGACTAGAGTTCAGAATAACTTTATTTTCCTTTGAAGATCTTCTAGTTGATATGTTGGGGGTTCTTGCCAGCTACAGCATCACTGTCAAGGAGTTGAAGCTTTTGTTCAGCATGCTTCGAGGAGAAAGTGGAATCTGGGTAAGCTGTGGTCAGAGGGAAAGGTATTCAGTATTAGTTCATTAATACTTAATGTTCAAAAGTTTGTCTCTAGAGAGCTATATACTTGAATTTATAATGGAAATTGCTTTCCTCTTAAATGATTTAGTAAATGTTTTATAAATGATTTAAAATTAATTTTCTCTCTAGTTAAAAAACAGTCCAGTGGCTAACGTGGTATATTAAGTATTGTTGTTAAATTTGTACAGTGACATTTATTTCTTTTATTGTTTCCCCAGCCAAGACATGCAGTAAAATTATTATCAGTTCTTAATCAGATGCCACAGAGACACGGTCCTGATACTTTTTTCAATTTCCCTGGTTGTAGTGCTGCGGTAAGTTTTAAATACATGTGCTGATTTTTATTTATTTATTTTTAGGTCAACTTTAGTAAGGTTTAATTTACATATAATAAAATTTACCAGTTTAGAAAGTACAATTTGATGAGTTTGGAAGTCCCACAACCACTACTATATAACGATTTCAACAATTCCATCGCTTCCCCAAATTCCCTTGTGCCTGTTGGAAGACATTCCCCCCTACCCATCCTCACTCCTTACTACCTCTGATTTACTTTGTGTTCCTATAGTTTAGCCTTTTCTAGATTGTCATATAAATAAAATCATACAGTATAGTCTTTTTTTTTTTTTTTTTGACGGAGTCTTGCTGTCACCCAGGCTGGAGTTCAGTGGTGTGATCGCAGCTCACTGCAACCTCTGCCTCCCCGGTTCAAGCAATTCTCCTGCCTTAGCCTCCCGAGTAGATGGTATTACACACACCCGCCACTGTGCCCAGCTAATTTTTGTATTTTTAGTAGAGACGGGGTTTTACCATGTTGGCCAGGCTGCTGTCAAACTCCTGACCTGCTGTTTGCCCGCGTAGGCCCACGAAAGTGCTGGGATCACAGGTGTGAGCCCCTGCACCCGGCCTGGTATATTGTCTTTTGTATCAGGCTTCTTTCACTTACCATGATGCTTTTGAAATTTTCTATGTTGTGGTTTTAATTACTGTTTTATTCTCTTGTCTTTTTTTTGTTTTGTTTTTGAGTAGTATTGCATTTTATGGATATACCACAGTTTATCCATCCTATCCATTCACTAGTTGATGGACTTTTGAGTTTCTAGTTTTTGGCTGTTATAAATAAAACTGCTGTGAACATTTGAGCACAGGTCTTTCTATGGACATATGTTTTCTTATATTTCTATTAAATACCTGAGTGAGATTGATGGGTTTTATGGTAACTGCCTGTTTACTTTCATGAGAAACTGTCTACTTGTTTTCTGTATTAGAACATTGTACATTTTCATAAGCTGTGTATGAGAATCCCACTTGATCTGCATCCTGGACATTTTCAGTCTTTTAAATTTGAGGGATTTAAATGGTTGTGTATAGTAGTCCCGCCTTATCCATGGGGGATATATGTTCTAAGACTGGCTCAGTAGATACCTGAAACTGTGGATGGTACTGAACCATGTATATAATATATACTATGTTTTTTTCCTCTACATACATACCTGTGATAAAGTTTAATTTGCAAACTGGGTACAGAAAGAGATTAACAACAATAACTAATAATAAAACATAACAATTATAGCAATATATTACAGTAAAACTTTTGTGAGTGTTGTCTCTCCCTCCTGCTCCTCCCTCATTGTCTCTCTTTCAAAATATCTTACTGTACTGTACTCACCTGTTTTTGGACTGTGGTTGACCATGGGTAACTGAAACCATGAAACCACAGATAAGAGGGGAATCTACTGTAATGGTACCTCATCATAGTTTTAATTTTGCATTTCATTCATGACTGATCATGATGAGCATTTTTCATGTGGCCATTCTTATATCTTCATTTGTGATGTTCTGTTCAGATCTTCTGTTCATTTAAAAATTTTGGTTGTTTATCTTATTATCCTAAGAGTTCATTATATATTTGGAATGTAAGTTCATCTGTTAGATCAAGGTAAAATATTCCCTGTTTTAAAGAGTCAAGAAAAGTTACATATTGTTTGACAATAAAATGTTATTTATATTGTATGATAATAAAACTGCCTGAACTAGTGGCTTAAATACTAAAATCTGAAAGGTTACTATAGGGTTTAACTCTTCATTTGAAATTGCGTGTGTGTGTGTGTGTGTGTGTGTGTGTGTGTGTGTGTGCGTGCGCACACGCGCATGCGTATGTGTGTATGTGTATTTTTTTTTTTTAACAACAAGTACTTAGAAATCTTTGACTACTTTGAGATTATTTATTGGCCACCTACAGAGTATTTTCTATATCTTCAGTCATTATACTTGGAGTATACTACATTCCTTACTCTTGAAGAACTCTGATGGCTGGACATGCAGATACAACTTGTTACAATAAGAGTTATAAATGACATTGTAGATTTAGGTACTCATAACTATGGGAACACAGTTGAAAAGAGAAATCACGCTAGGTTGAAGTCCAGGAAAGCTTCACAGATGAGGAACATATTAGTCTGTCATTAAAGAATAATTGAGATTTTGTTGGAAGGAAGAATGATTTGGATAGAAGCAACATGATGTATAGAAAGAGGAACTGTAAAAGAAGTGGAATAGCTGGTATATTTAGATGTACTTTGGAATGTGGGTTTGGGTAGTATAGGAGGATAACATCAAAAGGGTTTGTTGGAGCCATAGCATGTGGGAAGTCTTGTATAACCTGAAAAAATTTAAATTTTATTCTGAATGCAGAAGATTTTTGACATAGAAGGGCCGTGTTTTATTTGAGAAAGGCCATTATCAGCAATATGAGGATCTGTTTGGGGAACAGGTTAATTTTAAAATCATAATGGGTAATTATCTTTTATCTAGAATTTGGATAAAGCCTAGGAACATAAATAAATCCATTCAGATGTTTCTTGAAGTCAGGTGAAATAATCAGCTACTTTCTCATTTATTCCTTAGAATGGCTACATTTTATTTGATTGCTATTTTCAAGGGAGTGCTATATTTTTCCTTTTCTGCTTTTGAATGGATCTGAATCCTTTTTGTTTATAAATATCAGTGGTTAAGTTTCTGAGTAATAAATGTCATGCTTTGCCTTTCTTGGTTTCAATGTTGTTAGCATTATAAACATTATCTCTTAATGCTTGCATGTCTTCAATATTGATTCCGTTAACATTTTCTAGCTCAGCCATTTTTGGCTTTAAATATTCAATCTCCTTTAACCAAATGGGTTACTACTGAAAACCTAGCATAAACCATAGAAAACTGAAATTGGGAGGCTTATATGTAAGAGATTGTATACTGATGAAACTAGATGGGGACTTCTTGGAGTATAGTCTGAAACCCGCTATGTAACCTAGAGATAAAATCTAATTCACTGAGTATTTGAAAATTGAATGCTTCTATAATCAACAAATACTATTTAGGTATAGTTAGAATGTTTTAATAAAATACTAGCTTTTATTTTATGGATTTGTTTGTGATTTTCTGATATTTATACTTTGATTGTTATTTAATCTGCAAAAGCCATATTTGACGTTAGCTACTATCACATTTCTTTAACTGATACTTTTGTACCTTTCTCATTGCCTTGTAGGCAATTGCCTTGCCTCCTATTGCAAAGTGGCCTTATCAGAATGGCTTCACGTTAAACACTTGGTTTCGTATGGATCCATTAAATAACATTAATGTTGACAAGGATAAACCTTATCTTTATTGGTAAGTAAATGTTTAATTTTAGGACTTTTTTCTTTAAGTACTTGAATTCTATAAATGTATAGTCTCAAGGCAACTTAGATAGAATATATATATATGTATATATGCTAAAACTGTGAAGACACTGTAAATCAGTTTTATTTATGTGTGTATATATGCATTTATTTTGCTATTGATTCTAGGTCATCTGCCTCACGATTATCATTCTTTTTCAATTACAGTTTAAAAGTCAAAGGTACAGACCTTCTGTCCCAGTCTCCTTCAATGTATATCAGTTGTGGGAATTTTAGTGAGGATTGCTGGTCCCTGAAAAAAATTCCAAACTTTTACCAGATTTCATTCATTTTTGCCTTTTCACTTACTTTGTTCTATTAGCATAACTGACATAGGCTTGAAAATTGTTAATAATAACTACGTAAGAAATTATAAGGTAAGATTATTTGGTGTGGACAACTAGAATGAGTTGATCAACCTAACAATGTGTTGATCTGTAAGGGTTGAAAGCTTGGAATTTTAGTATGCCAGTAATGATGCACAGTCAGCATACTTACGAATAAGAACATCAAACATTCATTGATTGCCATATTATATGCTAGGCATTGTAAATGTTTATATATATGAACTCATTTAATACTTGCAATACTCTGAAATAAGACTGCCTGTGTTCAAGTTCTGGCTTCACCACCTACTATTCACCCTGTATTTTTGGTGTCTTCAACTATAAGATGAGAATAGTAATAGTGTCTATCCCATAGGATTTAATGAGAGAATAATATTTAAAGCTCTTTGTTTAATGGCTGGGTCAGAAATGTGAGCAAAGAAATACGTGACCTATTACTATCTTCTAAAATTCTATTACAAAATATTATATATGGATAAAATGAGAGCAAGTTTTAAATAAGCATCTGAACTTCCAAACATAAATGGGGTTGGTCTTCAGAGTGGTCATTTTGGGAGGTCATACATTAATTTCAGTGGTACCTTCATTTTTCAATGATTAAACATTTTTCTACATTGTGATTAAATTTACAGCTAAGGGGAATGCTTCTGTAGAAGAAAACAACTATATTTCATAGTTACATCTTTTTGTTTTTTTAAACTAAAAATGTACTGCTTTACTTGATCAGCTGCATTATTTATCAACCTTGACTCTGACCAAGTTTTTTTTTCTTTTTGTTGTTAATTTGTAAGCTCTTTTCAAAGGATTATAGAGCAGATTGCTATTTAAAATGTGAACTTTGTGTAAACGTGTTCTGTATTTGCTGATTGCAAATGGTCCTTAAAAGTAGATAAAGTCTACTTGGTGGTAGGTTTTCGTTGGCAATTAATTTGTTTTTAAGTATTTCTGAGATACTAGATTGAAATACTAAAAGCTTTCATAGTCTTTTGTTTCCCAGTTTAAATTTCTTATATTTACTTATAACTAAACCTTTTATATTTTTGTTTAGTTTTTATTTGACACATATTAAACTGCTTCTACTGTACAGGGAAATAAGTTTTATTTTCATAAGAATGTTTAATAGCCATTAGGTGTTTAGTTCTTTTTATCAGAGGATATTATACCATTGTCAGTTGTCTTTGCAGTTTTCGTACTAGCAAAGGAGTTGGTTACTCTGCTCATTTTGTTGGCAACTGTTTAATAGTCACATCATTGAAGTCCAAAGGGAAAGGTTTTCAGCATTGTGTGAAATACGATTTTCAGCCACGCAAGGTAGGTAAAAGTAAATATTTTTATAACTCACCTATTATGACAGAATTCTTAACTCTTTTATAACCTCTGTAGTATTCTCTTTCACTGGTTTTCCTATGCTTTTAATGGTTTTCTCTTATCCTTGTCTGTGTTTCCTTTTTATTTTTATGTTTGATTTTTATCTTCTATAAAATCAGTGTTTTGATCTTCTGTGATGTATTTCTGTTACCGTCTCTCATTATCTCAGTGTGATCTGTTCTATGGCATTCTTTCGATAAATACTTATTATTTACTGAGTATTGGACACCATTGTAGGCACTAGGGATTTATAAATATTTGCCCCTTTTTAAAAAAGCTAAATGTTAAACCCTCAGATTAAGCAATGCACCGTTACTTTTTTTGTGTGTGTGTGGGAGATTCACCTAATCCTAGTAGTTCTGAGTCTTGTTTCCTAAGATGGAAGGTTTTGTTAATTTCTGATGCTTTAATAATGCTGGCTTCAAGGAGAAGAATGTTGCTGTGCTCTTAGTTTTGGCTCATGAAATGTGTCTTTACTTAATATCCTAAATAACAGCAGAGACAAGGCCAAAACACATTTTAAAAACTGCTCTAAAGAGAAAATGTAGAGAACTGTGCAACTGTATGATTAGAATTATAAGAGATAATTCATTCATAATTAGATGGCATTTTCTAGAGAGATTTTCCTGCCCGTCTACCAGTCTCCGTCTTTGTGTCAGAATAACAAACTGTCTGAAAGTCCAGATGAAGGAAAAGAAGGACAGAGTGCAAAGGAGCTCCCGCCACACATGTTTAAGGCTTTGTCCCCTTCCAGGGTCAGCGTTCTTTCTTGGGTATATGACAGTGAGATTGTCAACATTTTTTAGGGCACACTGACTCCTCCTGACAGAAATATCGCCTTACTCTTTGTGATTAATGGTACAATCATAACAGATATGATGAACTCAGATGCGGTGAGGGGGAGGTCTTTATTTCTTTTTCATATCTTTTTTGTTTGTTTTCTTGTTACTTACGATCTGATGTGTGTCTTGCTATATACAGAGAAATTATTTTGGGTGGTATTTTCAAAAATTTGTTTAAATTTTACATGATTCTAATGAAAAATATTTGCTTTATATTTAATGTCAGTTATTGTCATTTCTATTAAAGAATATCAATTTAACAATAATTCATTAATATATACTTAGAAAATAGCTTAAAAAGCAATGATTCTGAATACATATATTTGTTCATTATAATGTTGTATTCTTTCTTTTTTAATACAAATAGATTATTTTAATACCAGTCACATTGCCTTTGCTCTGGAAATTCTGTTTTATTAGAATTAAGGTGAGACCAAGATAGTTTGCTAAAAGTGCCAAATTATTTTGAATTTCAGTGGAATTGATTAGAAGTACAGTTGTTGGTATCATAATTTTTCATGTTAGGATTGTGTGTTTTTAACAAATATTCTAGGTAACTTTTCTCATCAGACAATTTTAGGAAACAGTGGTTTAAAGAATACACATGCAGACAATTAGAGTGAAGTTATAACCAAATGAAATTGTCATTAACCAATAAAAAGCACTTTAACCCATTTGTTCTCACTTTTTCTATTTTGTGTCTTCTTCACTGTTTACTTGTGGAAAACACATTCTCCTTTGTAAAGCTCTCAATATGCAGTGATTCTAAGGGGTCTAGTTAGGAGCAGGTCCAGAGAATGATGTGGATTTTAAAAAGTCTTCTGTGAAGATTCTCACAAACCTTGAAACATCACAAATATTTGCTTTTACTGTGTTTCATTATAATAAGTTCATTCTCTTATTTATTCCTTTCTTGAGTTTTCCACAGATGCCCTAGCTAAGTTGTTGTTATCCTTCCTAATAAGAGATTTACTGGCCTTTCAAAAGAAATCTTTACATGAAAACTTTTGCTTTCCGAGCTGCACTACTTAACCAGCTGTTAGAACTTGTGAAAATGGATATAAACCATTAGCATGTTACCTAATGGTAATATGTGCTCTAGACATATTAGCTACTGTTGATATCATGCTGTACTTTTTAATCTTCAATTTATTTTCATATCTTTATATATATATATATCTCTTGTGGATTCTTAATATAGATCTTTTTTTTCCTTATTACTGGTTGTGTCCTTTTATAAATTTCTTTTTGAGTCTCAAACTAAATGCAGACTTCACTATATATACAAAATATCACTATGCACACATAGTTTCCAAGTTTATTTTTATTTTCTTTAGTCAAGGTATATCAGATCAAAAGTTAGGCTTTTTTTTTTTTTTAAACCATTGAAAAACTCACTTGTGTCATCTGTAGAGTACAGTTTGATGTACCAAGGAAAGAGAAAAGTTACTTTTCTTGTGAATAAGTACTATGGTCTTTACTGGGATCAGCTCATTAATCAGTGCATTTGTTTATTCATTCATTTAATTTTATCATATATTATTGTTATAACCAAAAGCAAACCTTGATAAACTCCAAATCTGAATAATTTTTCTGTATTAATTATCTTAAGTTAATGGTACCCTTACCCATCTAAGTGAAAATTGGAAGCCATCTTAGACTCCCCTTTTGTATGTTAACACTTCCTATCAGTTCTGTTAGTTAACTCCCATCCTCACTTTAAAATTATTAATGCCTTTGGCTGGGCGCGGTGGCTCAAGCCTGTAATCCCAGCACTTTGGGAGGCCGAGACGGGCGGATCACGAGGTCAGGAGATGGAGACCATCCTGGCTAACACGGTGAAACCCCGTCTCTACTAAAAAAAATACAAAAAAAAAACTAGCCAGGCGAGGTGGCGGACACCTGTAGTCCCAGCTACTCGGGAGGCTGAGGCAGGAGAATGGCGTGAACCCGGGAGGCGGAGCTTGCAGTGAGCTGAGATCCGGCCACTGCACTCCAGCCTGGGCGACAGAGCGAGACTCCATCTCAAAAAAAAAAAAAAAAAATTATTAATGCCTTTGTCTTAGTTCAGCGGCTTATGGTATCTTACCTAAACCTTTGCAGTGTTTCTTCAGTTTTGTCCTTATCCACACTTGCCTACCTATCTCACCTCCACATTGCTGCAGTTATTTTCTTTAACTACGGAGCTGATCGTTTTAACTTTCCTCCTCAGAATTATTTGGTTATACCACATTATGCAAAAAACAAAGGCCAGGTTCCTAAAGGTCTGTTTACAATCTGGTCTTTGCCTGTTTTTGTTTTTGTTTTTGTTTTTTTTCCTGCTAAACCTACACACTGAGGAAAATTTTGTCAAGCATTTGTGCTGTATCATATTAAGATTCTGCCTGGAATTTTTTTTAACCCCTGTCTACTGAACAATTCCTTTTCATCTTTAAAGCTTAGTCTTACGGTTCATTTTATTCTTTCAGTGAATACTTCTATGATAGTCTTTCTTCTCTGTTTGTCTTTCCTTCCCAGTTACTTATAGTAATTACTTGTATTACTCCCACATCTGTATTTTAGATACTCTCTATTGTTCTCATAACTGTTTCTCTAGTGAAACTTCCTTCAGTGTGTATATGTTGTCTGTCTTTATATACCCATGATCCAAGGTTGGGACAAGATACTTGGCATAAAGTAGGCTCTCAGTACGTTTTTTGAATGAATGAATGATTCTGAAAGGTAAATAATAAATTTTAGCATAAATGAACCTCATCATGAGGACATAGTAGATAAAAACAAAATAGCAGTTTAGTTAATGGTATGTCATTTATGGGTGCCAAATACATTGGGAACTTTTCTTCATAGTTTTCATATATTATCTATTTATAATATTCACAAGGAATCCATAAAGTAGGCATTATTATTCCCCTTTTTCAGAGATGAAAATAGGTTCAGAGATGCTAAGTAATTTGCCAAAAGCCATAGAGCTAGTAACTTGGGAATCCAATTCATGTCTTTATGAAGTAAAATTCTTGCTGCCCAGTACATTGAGTTATCTGGAGTAGTAAGAACATTGAGTTATCTAGAGTAGTAAGAATTCAGTAAGTATTGTTTGAATGAGTACTTTGTTTTATAGCAAGTACACCAATAAGTATAAGATTACATCTAGTATTTATCTTAAAACTGTCTTTGGGCAGGAAATCTTTGCCTATATGTAGGCATTTATTTGTGTCCCTTCTCTTTAAAAATGCAAAGATTTTACACATTTTACTCCACAATATAAAGTTTGTATCTTCTATGTTATTTAGGTAGCATTCTGGTTGAATATTTTCAAATTCAGTGAAGGTAATATATGCAAACTTTAATTCTTATACTTGTAAACTTCTGTAAGATTTTTCTTAAATTTATTTGACGCTCTTTTTTATGGTTTCTTCTTGATAATTTTGTATTATTTAGAAACAATTGTTAAATGACTACATTAAAGATTTTCTCTTCTGATTTTAATCAGGGCTAACATATATGTTGGTTTCGAATCAAGTGGAAGACTTAGTTTGCAATAAATTAATAATTACCTGGAATGAAAAAAAACTTAAAAAAAGGATGTACGTTTTAGACAGTTAAATGTCTTGACCTGACCTTGCTTTTATAGAAGGACACTGTTGTTTTGTATTACTGACTTTTTTGAGTTCTCTAACACACTATTTTTTTTCTTTTTCTTTTCTTTTTGTTTTTTTTTTTTTTTTTTTTTTTTGAGACAACATCTTGTCCTGTCGCCCAGGCTGGAGTGCGGTGGTGCAATCTTGGCTCACTGCAATCTCTGCCTCCCAGGTTCAAATGATTCTTGTGCTTCAGCCTCCCGAGTAGCTGGGATTACAGGCACATGCCACCACGCCTGGCTAATTTTTGTATTTTTAGTAGAGACAGCATTTCACCATGTTGGCCAGGCTGGTCTCGAACTTCTGACATCAACTGATCTGCCCACCTTGGCCTCCTAAAGTGCTGGGATTACAGGCATGAGCCACCGTGTCCAGTCTATTTTTATTTTCTAAATTGAAATGAACAAAATTGAATTTTGCTCAAAGTATTTTAGATACCTTGAAATAACTTATATTTTAGTGGTTAAGGATTATTATAACTTTTTATTTCTCAAAATATATATGAAATAATTGAATAGTGCATTTAAATAATCTGTAGAAGAAAGTTTGTATTTTATATTTTGGAGGGAGGGAGAAACCAGTTAATTTTCCCCCGTTCAGAAAGCATACTTGTTCAAATGTTTACAAATCATTTGTATTTTTCTATACTTTAGAAAAAAGTATTTCTATATGCTCAATTTTAGGCTATTAACTCTCAAGCGACTAAAGGTTGTTTCAGATATGAAACCATCCATATTAAAATAGGTACTTAAAATGCTTTTTGATACCAGTAACTGTAAAATGGGCCCTTAATATGAACTCATTCATTTATTCTTAATAAATATTCCCACATTAAGTTATTACTTATATAATTATCACTGGATTTACTAAATCTAAATTGTGAAATTGAAGCTACCTAAATCTTATTATAGATGCTAAAATGTTGTTTCTTTGACAGATCTTTCCTGACCACGCAATCCAAAGTAGAATCCTAGTTTATTCTTTTTCAGTTTATACTGTTCTTTTTCTCCTCACTGTAATCACCATGATTTATAATTCTACATTTGTTTAATTGTGTCGTATATATTTCTTTTACTAGCTCATAAATTCTAGGAGAACCGGTCAGCCTTGGGTATCTGCAGTGCCTGGCACAATGTAAATTTTAAATGAATGAACACAAATAAATTATATTTCCACAATTTCACATCTTGGTATAATGGAAGGAATATCACTCTGGAGGTCAAGGGGTTGTAGTTCTTGTCTTCTCCAAGAATATTCTTTATGTGCTACTTCTACCATCTGTGAAATGAGAGATTGGAGGGGGAGCTTGAGGAAGTGGTATTAGATGATCATTAATAGTCCTGTCAGCATATTCTTGTAGAGTTTTATGAATGTTATAACTGCATTTTAGACCATAATAACCAAACATTACATATTGGTATATTTGCTTTTTTTTTATTTAAGTGGTACATGATCAGCATTGTCCACATTTACAATCGATGGAGGAACAGTGAAATTCGGTGTTATGTTAATGGACAACTGGTATCTTATGGTGATATGGCTTGGCATGTTAACACAAATGATGTAAGTCTTTATTTTTCTGTCTGTGTTTTCATTTGAGAGAATGATCTATCATTACAATATGAATTGAATTATAAAATAGTTTGGTAGCAACTTAAAACTTAGAAAATTTATTCTTTTTATTAAAATGAATCTTTCATTGTTAAATTTAGTATAAGAAAATTGCTAAAAGACATGATTAATGATAAAAAACAGAAACATTTGGCCAAAGTTTTAAGTTTTTTAGATCAAAAACCTTGAATCTTATATTCTGTTTTTTCCAGCATCAAGCACTAAAAAATGTGGTTTACCCCTTATTTAGATATAAGAAGACCCTAAACAAAAGTATAACATATAGTCACTATTATTCATTACATAGTGATAAATGCTATGGGGAAAATAAATTGGGCATACAGAAAGTGTAGGTGTAGGGAAGGGAGAAGCCAGATATTGCAGAGATGATTTTAGCAGAAAGAGTTGAGCAAGCAAGGAGTGTGGGGAACTTGTTCTATTCAGTGGGAACAGTGAGTGCAAAGGCTTTGAGGCAGAATAGGAAAGTTCAAGGAAAAGGCAATTTGTCTGGAGCAGAGGGAGGAGGAGGCATGAGGTCAGGCAGAAATCATTTTGGCCTTCATAAGCAAACAAGGCCTGGGCTTTCGCATCTTACTCAGCTTAAAAATCCTTGGAAGGTTTTCAGCAGAGAGGTGATGTGTGCTTCTATTTTAGAACCATCAGTCTGCCTGCAGTATTGAGAATATTTTGAAGGGAAATTACTGAAGCAGGAAGATCACTTAAATCGCTTATTGCAATAAAACAAAGAGACTATATTAGTTTCTACCAGTATGTTAGCAGTGGAAGAAGTGACACAGTAGGATTCTAGGTAGAGGATAACTAGAATTAAAACCTCAAGGGTCCTTATGATTTCTCTACTTTGGACTTTCTGTTGTCTACATTCTGGCCTGTCAGAGCCAAAGTGAAAGGTTTGTTTTAATGCTGAAAGTACCTCCAAGCTCAGTAATATACAACCCTTCAAGCATACCTAGTTTTATAAGAACTTACCTGTTAAACACAAGTCATTTCTCAGTTTTGTTTGCATCTCTCTAGGCTTTCATCTCCCAAAGGGCAGGGATTTGCTTATCCTGTTTTGTATTCTTTTAGCTAGCATGTGCATATGGTCCATAGTTTGTCCCGTAGATAGGGACTTGGCAGACTACACCCTGTGAGCCAAATCAGACCTTCCCCCTGTTTCTGGTTTTGTATAAGCTGGGAGCTAAGAATCTTGGCTTTTAATTTTTTAAGTTTTTTTTTTAAGAGACACAAACCAAATCAAAGCAGAATGGGACAGAAACCAGGTGTGGCAGGCAAAGTTTAAAATATTTTCTGTCTGTCCCTTTATAGAAAAAGTTGCTTTTCTCTGCCATAGAAACTCATGGTTGAGCCACAACCAATAAATATTTAATAGAATGTTGTTTTCAGAATTAGAATACACAGATGAAATTCTCCTTTTTATCTTCTCTGCAGAGGAGATCTTCTCTCCAGAGTCATTTTATTATAGAGTCATTTTATTATATTAAACCCTAGTGGTCTTCTTGACTCGTTAAATGATAAGACAGTATCTTGGAAAGAAAAGGCTTACTTTTTTGGTTATTTGTAATAGTGCCCTAAGAAGTGGAGAATTCTAGATAATAACACATATATACATACTTTAGGCAGTTAAAATTCCTATACTTCTAATTAGAGATTGGATATTTAATGGCGACAATTTATTTTGCCTTTGTACTCCATTCACAATTTTTTTACTTTATTGAAGTACCAAAAGTACTTCTTACATATATAATTCTTGCTTATTCGTACTAAGGTGTGAAATAGCCTGTGGGGATAGGGGAAGGGAACTGAGCCATGACTGCTTTCCCTGGTTTCGGTGGGTGGGGTATAAGAAGTAGAGGCTGGAAGGACCTTGTTAAGCTTTTGGCTTCTTCAGTGCTGAATTCCTCACGTGGAGAGCACTGTATCAACGGCTTTAAGAAGCAGATCTTACTCTTATTGTTTATTTGATTCTGTGTAATTCCTACTCATATATGAGAAGGGATTGATTTTCTTTGTGTCTTTTACTTAATATGGAGGAATAGAGGAATAGATTCGTAATTTCAAAAATAAAGTAGAATAAAAAAATTATACCCTATGTGTTCATGATTAAATGTTGGAATAGTCATTCCCTTGATTCAGATCAATCTCTCTCTATATGGATCATTATACCTCATTACAGTTGTATATTAGTTTAACTTTTGTAAATAAATAATTATAAGCTCTTTTGCCTTTAACTGTAATATTTGAAAAGTGGTAAGTCTGAAGATTGAGTAGGCGGCTACTGTTTGTTTGCTTAAACATAAGTGTGCATGTAACTGATCATTTTTCCCAAAAAACTTGACTGGCATTTATTATTTAAATAATAAAGTCTTAATTGATGCTTTCTGCTATTATTTTTGTTATATTTTAAAATATTCTTGATAATGGAGGCTGATTTAAGGATTTAAAGCTTTTTGTCATTAAAAATAATGCATTTGATTTTTTTTATGACTTTTAAAAATAGAGCTATGACAAGTGCTTTCTTGGATCATCAGAAACTGCTGATGCAAATAGGGTATTCTGTGGTCAACTTGGAGCCGTGTATGTGTTCAGTGAAGCACTCAACCCAGCACAGATATTTGCAATTCATCAGTTAGGACCTGGATATAAGGTAGTAATAACTGTAATTTTATAAATTCTATGGAGAGTTTTAGATGTAAAATGTGGTGTAATATAATTTTTAGTGAAAATCTTTCTCTAATATGGTTTAAGAGTCATTTCTGTTTTTTTAGAACGTAGTCAGTTTTTATTATATGTTTCTTTTTGGTTCAAAGATGCTTTTTTCTCAACTGTTTTCTCTTTATAAACTTTTTTATTCTTCAGAATATTTTCTAATATTGGTGGCATGCCTTTTATTAACAATTCTGAAATAATCTTATAAAACTATTTTGCTTAATGTAGTATTTAAAATACAAAAATTTGAAATATACATATTACAGAGTGAACATAATAAAGAGCTTGTTAATATTACTGGTAACTTAGAAAGAAGAGTTAAAGATTTAGAAGGAAAGTAAGATAATATACTTCAGGGACCTAAAATTATTCAATTTTAGCTTATATTTTTGCTTTAATTGCACTAAGTGAGGAAGTAGGTACAGTAGTGAGTATACTAATTTAGCAAAACTAATATAATTTATCATTTTTTTTTGTTTTTTAAACTTTCAAAGCAAAGACTCTCGGTAAGATAGAGCATGCACATATATGAGTTAGTTTTAAATGTGAAGTATACCTGGCTAGGGGAGTGTATAGGGGTTCTATTTAAATCACGTTAGGAATTGTGAAGTCTCAAACTACTTGGAGCTGAAAGAGAATTAATTACACATTATCGTCAAAGTGTTTATAATTCTGAAGGAGTACTTGTCTTGTATGGAGGTGTGGTTTTTTATTGAGCTCAATTTAAATAATTAATGTGAACATTGTGTTATGGAAAGGAGTAGTAAATATTAAAAATATTCCCTCTTTGGCCTTTGTATTTTTGCATTGGTATTTCTCTTTTTATGTCATTTATATATAGATAGAGAGAGCATGAAACAGAGAGAGAGAGGAAAGTTTGAATTTACCCATATTAAAATACCTTTTTGTTCTCAATGACTTTAATAACCATAATAATATTGAAGAATAATAATGCTATTATTTTTATGTCAAGGTAACAATACTTGCTATCATATATTCTCCATATCATTTTTGTTTTTGTCTTACTAGCTCTAGAAATGCATTTGTGCTTGTACAGCTGCTTTTTCTTTCATGGGTCGTTTTGTTGGGTTTACATCCTGGTTCTGCCATTGTTGATCTTGCATAGGAATATTTTTGTAATTCACATTTTTTATTAATATGCGGCCTGCTTTTCTTTCCTACTTCTTTGAGTTGTTTCATAAAATACTTACAGTGTCTTTTTAAGCTCTAATAGAATGATACTGAATAGAGTGACAAGCAAACAAATGAAATATAAAAAGGTAGAATATCAAGAAAATACAAATCCAATACGATTGCTAATGCAAAATTTCAGAATTGATGGGAGCTTCCTTGCAACATCAAGGAAAAGGGCTGAATATAAGCAATTTTGTTATTCTTCTATTCACAAAGAAGCAAATTTTGTCCTGAACAGCTTTGCAAATTTTGTAATTTGTAGTATTCTTTTCACAAGTATTTCTTGTCATTCTTTTTAACAACAGTGATAATGAGCAGTAACCCTGTCATCATGTGTGCACAGCTCATGTGACATAGTGTATCCTTGTTTTCCTAACACACAGTAGAGTACCTAAAGTCAGAACTTTTAAGAGAGAAACCTGTAAATTTGGGCATTACATCAGAGAGTATTTTATTAAGTTTTGAACGTTCTCAGCTCACCGCACCCATTGTTGTTAGTGGGGGTTGATGATAAATCCACGGATACATGCATTTTCTCAATTTGTAAATATTATAAGTACAATTGCTACCGTGACAGGCATCAGCAAAAATTTTTCATATTAAAAAACTTTTTTTTTGTGGGAATTCAGAAAATGTAGGGAAGGAAGAATGCATACGATCAGATTGTGTTTTGATAGAAGAAAAGCTGAGTAGTTCACACATTATACTCACAATTATCTTGGTAAAGTCACTTCCTGTGAGTGAAGGGGTAGAGGGCTACAGTGGAATTTTTAAGGTGTAGGGAATATAATAACTAGTGGACATTTGGATAAATCCCAAACGGAGTTTAAATTACTTAGTGTTGTATAATAACATAGTATTTATATGTTTTGCCTTGAGTTATATGGAACTTTCTTTTATTGTAATGGTCAGACAATATTTATGATTCTGAGTTTAGTGCAGATAGCATGTCAACATATGGGCTTCGAAATTAATAAAATAAGTTAATTCTACCTTCAAATAATGTCGTCAAACTATATATTCAATGGAGCCTGTTATAAATGATTTTGACTTGTTGGTCACTGGAGTGCCAGGTAATTTTTGTTCTGTCGAACGTTTGGTTTTGAGCATTGCAGCTTATCAGTAAAAATTCTGTACTTGGTTATTTTCTGGCAGTAATAAGTTAGAGTATCACTTATTAACTAAATAAACCATTCAGTTTGGAAAGTAAAATACAGAAATTCAGAAAATATTTAAAATACAGAAAATCTCACTGTAGAATTGTCTAGTATGGTAAAATTTACTACCAGGTAAGTTTACTGTGGATCTCTATTTGGAGTTATTTAATGTCTTCGAGATTATAAAATCTTGTGTATCAGATGGCCCTTTGACATAAGCTTGCAAATCAGATTTAAACAAAGGTTTTATATTTTATAATTATTACTAGATATTTTATCAGTGTTACGTTAACCCTTGTGGCAAGCAGTTAGTCTTCATTGCCAGATATTTGAAAATTTAGCTTTCAGTTCTCTCCTTCATTTATGAATATCGTAACATAATGGTATTTATAATTTGCTATATCATAATAAAGTTCTAACTGATAAGAGAAAAAGTATAACACAACCTCCAAAATTGAAATTCACTTCAGAGGATTTCCAATACTTGTACGGAGGGGTGAGCTCCTAACAAACTGATATTCTCACAAATAACCATTTGCAAACTCTGCACATAATGTAGATAACATCTATTTGAGGGTTATAGAGATTGAATAAAAGCAGGCAGGCTTTGGAGGGTAGTCAATATATGGAACAGTCAGTCTACATGGCTTGATATCCCCATTTTTTGCTTTTATAGGAAACTTTCTGGCCAGAAAATTTCTCTACAATATTGTACAGAGCAATAGTCACAAAATTTAGCATATAATCCAAAAGTACTTATTCTAAAAATAGTCAGGAAAATGTGACTTATTCTCAAGGGAAGAGAAAATCATCATATACCAACTCCAAGATAACCCACATGTTGGAAATACCACATGAAGTCTATTATAACTAGTGAGGTAGAGAAAAATTTACTTACAATGAATTAAAAGATAGGAAGTGTCAACCATGAAATAAAACAAAATCAGATGGCAGTTCTACAACTGAAAAATATATCAAAATTAAAAAACTGTATGGGCTTATTAGCAGAGTTAATATGATAGAGAAGTAAATGAACTTGAGTATAGATTGATATAAACTTGGAAGAGAGTTATGAAAGATTGGGGTAAGAAAATAGAACCCTGGAGATATATGAGGCAATTTTGAAAGGTCTAATAGACACAGTGTAAGTGAAAGAGCCAGAAAAAATATTTGAATAAATGATGATCAGAAACTTCTCAGATTTGGTAAAAGGCTTATATTTATAGATTGAAGAAACTCTGAAAATTCCAACCAAAATAAATGCAAAGAGAACCAAAGTAGGCACATTACAGTCAAAGTGTGGAAAACCAAAGATAAAGAGAGAATCTTGTAAGCATGCAGAGGAAAACTAGACATTGATAAGGGAACAAGAATTTGAATATCTGTACGCATCTCATCAGAAAGCAGGAAAGCCATAGAGGTGGAACAAAATCCTTAAAGTTATGAATGGAAGAAAAAAATCTATCAACATAGAATTTTTTTATCCAGTGAAAATATTCTTTAAGTCTTTTGAAAGAAAATTAAAGAAATTTGTTGTTATTTGACTGTCATTACTGACTGAGGAAGAAAACCTGGATGATTAGGAGTATATACATGTAATACATATGACAACTAACGGAAAGATTTGGGGAGAGGCTATAAATGCATCTATATAGTTGAAAAGTTACTGTATGTTACAACGTGTCTTGATAGAATGATGTTGACTACAATTCAATGGCTAAAGCAAAATTAACAAAGTGAAAATAGCATGTCTTTTCTTGAATGATAGGTAAATGTGTATCCTGTATTTCATTTACCTATAGCATATGCTCTAGACCCCTCTTTCAAATTAAAGGTAACAAAAGTTCAGTTGAAAGGAAAAACAAAATAAATCATTGCTAGCTACTACAGGTGAGGTAAATGAAATACAAATAATGAGCCTTCACTAATTCATCTGTTCATTCTTTTATTAAACATGTGGACACTGTTCTAGATGTTAGGGATATAACAATTAAACAAAACCAACAAAAACCCCTGCCTGTATTTTGGAGAAGTAGGGTGTGCAGTATCATGGGAGAAGACAGGTAACAAAACAAAAGAAAAATAAATAGTGTCTATGTGATGATGAGAGCTATGAGACACACAAAGCAGGTAAAAAAGATGGAAGTTGATGCTAGCTAAGTGGATATCTGGGGAAAAGCTTTAAGGGTAAATGCCAGAGCAAGAAGGAAGGCCATTAGCAGAAGCTTACTTCACAGATTAAAGAACACTGTGACTGTCACAGAAGGAGCAAGGGGGAGCGTCAAAGATTAATTCAGAAAACAACTATATGCTTTCAGAGGATTTTTATGACTTCATTTCTGCTCTTGAGTGAGAGGGACAGCCATTGAAAAGTTTTGAGTGTCCTGGCCTAATACCAATTTGAAAAGGATCACTCTGGTTACTATGGTAAATAGGGAGAAAAGGTGGAAATAGGGAGACTAGTTAGGGGACTGTTGGAGTTATTTAGTGAAAGAGCTCTGGAAAGTATTGAGACTTGATTAGATTTTTGATAAAGCATATCTAAAATATCTGCGACTCTGAAAGGTCAGCTTTTGGACATACTTTG